AAAATAAAATAAAATAGATAGTGTTCACATATAACCAATGCATACCCTCTTGTAGACCTTAAATCATCTCTAGATTAGTTAAAATACCTAATGTGATACAATGCTGTGTAAATAAATAGTTGTCAGGGAATAATGACAAGGAAAAAAGTTCATACGTATTCAACACAGGCACAATTTTGTAAAAATTATTTTCTGAACATAGTTGGTTGTATTCACAGAGTTGTGCCATCATCACCACAATCTAATTTTAGAAGATTTTTATTACCCTCTAAAAAACCTTTCACCCTTTAGTCRTTCTCCCATCTACCCCCTCCCCTGACCTAGACAACCACAAGCCTTCTTTCTGACTATACAGATTTGCTCATTCTGAACACTGTATATATAAAGGAAAGCCTACATCATGTAGTCTTTTGTCACATATTTACTTAMGTGATGATTTCCAGATTTTTTTCATATGTCATCATATCATTCCTTTTTATGGACAAATAATATTCTATTATATGACTATACCACATTTTGTTTATMGGTTGATGGGCATTTGGTTGCTCCTACTTTGGGGATGTTATGAGTAATGCTGCTATATACATTTGTGAACACATTTTGGGGTAGACATTCATTTCTCTTAGGAATTCACCTCCTAGGAGTGAAATCACTGGGTCAGATGGTAGCTCTGTGTTTGACAGTGTGAGGAACAGTGAAATGTTTTCCAAAGTAGCTGCCCCATTTTCCACCCCCACCAGCTTTGTGTGATGGTTCTCCATATGTTCACCAATACTTGTTATTGTCTGTCTTTTGGGGTATAGGCATCCTCACAGGTATGAAGCAGTGTCTCTCGTAATTTTGATTTGCATTTCTTTGATGACAAATGATGGTGAACGTGCTCATTTGTATATCTTTGGAGAAATGTCTATTCAAATCCATGCCCATTTTTAGTTCAGTTATATTTTTATTGTTGAGTTCACAGGAGTTCTTTGTATGGTCTATATACAAGTCCTTTATTAGATATAAGATTCAAAAAATTATTCTCCTTTTCTGTCATTTGTAGTTTATTTTCTTGATGGTATCATTTGTGRCATGAAAGTTTTAAATTGTGAAGTCCATTTTATCTTTTTCTTTTGTTCCTTGTGGTTTTTTGTTGTCCTATCTAAAAAAAAAAAAAAAATAGCCTAAACCAAGGCCACAAAGATTTCTTCCTGTGCCTTCCTCTAAGAATTTTATAATTTTAGTCCTTACATTTAATTTTATAAATCATTTTTAGTTAATTTTATATGTGGTATTAGATAGTGTTTAATTCTATCTARTATTAATACCACGTTTTTCTTTGATATGTGGTTTTATAGTTTTCGAAGCACTGTTTATTTAAAAACATAATTCTTTCTCCATTGTCTTGGCACCTTGTCAATAATCAATTGACCACAGATACAGGGAGGTAATGATTTTATACCSATAAGCTATAAATGAGATAATAAGATCTTAGAAGCAGTTTTTACAATCTGTCCTGGTGGGTAGTCAAGAAAGGTACTAGGAGAAACACAAACCAATATTTATTACCAGGTGCTTTTCTAAGTATTTGCACATATTGTCTCATTTCATCTTTCTAACATCCCAATAAGGTATGTACCATCATTGTTCCGTTTCAAAATAAAGAAACTGAGACACAGAATAATTAGACAGCCTGCTCAAGGTCTCACAGTTAAAATGTGGTAGATCTGGGATTTGAACCTAGCTGGTGCAAGAATTCAGGACCCACACTCCGATCGACAAACTGCTAGTACTTGTGTCTTCCTCCTTCTCTTTCTGTCATATTTTTTATCATTTTTTCATTCAATTGCAATTTCTCATCTCTTTCTTCACTTCCAAACCTGGCCAAAAGGTCCCKGGTTGTTCTACTCACACATCATCTCAATTCTGCAGTCATCTTTGGCTGCAGATGATTTGGTTGAGGTAATGARAGTCTAGAGTTGAACAGACCTGGGAGGAAATTGTGCTGGGCTCTTGTCTGGTTGTATGACTTTTTKGGGGGGAGGGGTGTACATKGCTGTACAGTAGAAGTCTTCTAGTTCTGCCAATCAGAGGGGAGCTCTTTCCCTCTGCTCTGTTGCTRGACTCACTGTGTCAGAGTGTAGACTCTTTAAAGAACAGGTTTTCTGATCTGTGTTTGTATTTCCAGCACCTGTAATCAAGAGGCTCAGAGAATAGAATTGAAATTGGCTAATCCAAGATCCAAGGCTGAGGTAAGCTGATTTAGCAGCATTGAATAGTGGGCATGTTGAGAGGCTCTAGTATCTTTGCAGGACCCTTTTGGCCCCATGGGTCAACCTCTCTGGATTAGCTGGCAGGTTGAGCAACATATTGCCAGAGTCCAGCTTTTCTTGCAGGGACTAGTTCCTGTGAAGAAGAGGCTGAGGCCTCAGGAAGCATGTCTTSCTCTCAAGCCTGTAGTCAACAAAAYCCTCAAATTTCTTGTATCTGAAYACAGAACTTTGGTATTGGCACTTGGCACCAATACCTGATGGTTATAGGGAAGCCAGAAGCACAGTGCCCTACCCAAAGCTTCCTAGCCYAATTTCACACTTCAGAATTGACTCTTTCCTCTGAATTCTCAGTTTGTACTTGTTTTGCCTGCAGTGCTTGATTACACTAGAAGCTGTTTTATCTGTAATGTCTAGAATTTGAGCTATTTAGAATAATGATATTTCTGGAATCAAGACATTTTTATTCCAAAAGAGCAATACAGAAAAAAAAATCGCTCTAATTCCAACAAGTTCTGTTTGTTGGCTTTGCTTTGCCTTTTATAGGGTTTACAGACAGGGAATGCATAATATATATTTCCTAATTGCAATTAAATGCTTGAAGATCATTACCTGACAAAATAAGTGAATGATCAAGAACCATCACGATCTATGTCCTAAGGAAGTCACCCTGGCATTGCTATATCTTATAAACCCCATTATCACATGAACAAATCACAAATGCTTGGCTACAGTGACATCATTAATTGCTCTTTTGCCCCCTTGGTACTAAGGATTGAACCCAGGGCTTTACACATGCTAAGTARGCACTCTACCACCGAGCAACATCCCCAGCYCAATAATTGGTTTTTTGACATAAAGTAGATCATTCTACTATTGTGACCTATGTTTATTAGCAATATTTTATTTAATGTAATATCATGATTCAAAAATATAAGTGATTGCTCTTAAAATTATCTTAGATCAACTTCAACGTTCAGATGTTTCAGCATTAATATACCATTCTTCCTGTCTGCCTTCCCCTGGACTACAGATTTAAGAATCAAAAGTGCCRCAGATTCATCCTGTTTTCACTTTCCCATTGCCCCAGACCCTATTTGTCTATCAGGGGTCATTCTGATTAGCTATTACATGCCCACACACAAGATTCTTCCTTATTACAAGTCATGTGGGCTTTTAATAGCTAAATACATTATTTTGGTGATTTTTACAGCAATACCTACCAAATTAGGTACATTCTGATTTTACAGATGAGGAACTTGAGGGAAATTGAGTGATCTGTTCAAGGGTCAAAGATCACAGGTATCAAGCCCTGTAAGGACAGGTACTTGGTCTGTTCTGGGCATCACTGAAGCCCTGGAACCACAYAGTGCTTGGCACATCTGTGTTCAGTGAGGGGCCAGTCTCTCCTCAGTGGGTGTTGCAGAGGTGATACTGGGGAGCTGTTCAACACCCAGCCCCAACACCTGACTATTTGGGTTCAAATGCCAGCTCTGCCATCCACTTCACTTCCCTGCTGTAGCATGGGGAGATTCCAGGCGGATTTACTGTACCTCATCCTCAAGGAGGTCTTTAGGTTTGGGTGGGATCTGAGGCTTCTGCAGGGAGGCTGGGATCGGCAGCGTGGAGGCYGATCTTGCTTTTGCTGAAGGCCAGCTGGGCTTACTGGGAAGCGACTTGCTGAAGGGTGGAGACTGCCTCTGGCTAGACCGATTGTCTTGAACAAACAAACAAACGAAAAACAAAAACACAACTCAGTAGAGGTTCCGGATCATTCCTTGGGTGGAGGCCAGGAAGATCTAGAAAGTATATAACTACTGGCATCTCTGTAGCTACAAATGATCAGYGGGGCAGTCCTTAAAGAGCAAAGTGGAATGTTCAGCAAAAAGTTTCTGTTGTCTCTGACTKACACAATAAACCCCAGAAGAACATCCTCATGAAAAAACATCCTCCCGGGGGGAGTGACGGAAGCCCATRGGCCCAGGAACACCGCCATGCCAACACTCTTACCAAGCACAGTGGACAGAAGCAGCACAGGGAGGGTGTGTGTCTGTAAGTGGTGTAATTCTCAATCCTGTTAAATATCAGAACTAACTGGGGAGCTCTAAAAATCCTGAGACCTCTGCCCTACCCCAGGCCTATTATGTCTGAACTTTTAAAAATTCCCCAGGCTATTCTAAGGTACATCCAGAGTGGCCATCATTTGTGTGGGTCAACCTCAATGACTTCCCTCAATTCCTAGAGGACCCTGGCAACCCCCTTGCATCAGGTCTGTCTATTTTCAGCAGATGTAGGGGAAAGATCCAGCTCTGAAGCCAAAATGGGTCTGGGTTGTGCACCCCCCTCTGCCACTCACCGCACGCGGCTGTTGGGCTGGCTCTTCAACCTCTCTGGGCCTCACTTCCTCATTTTAAAATGGAAGATCATGCTACCCACTTCAGAGAGTTATCGTAGGGATGAGAAAGATGGCAATGAAAGCAGCAGGTGGGGCATGCCTGCCTAATAAGCAGAACTAACATTACCATGCCAGGCCATGAGGGCTTAGGAACTGCAACTCTACCCAGCTGATGCTGTGAGCTAAGTTTTGATTTGGACTGATACAGTTTAGGAAACTCTAAGCATAGGAACAACCTGGTGCATTTCCTACCTTGGGGACAGTACCTTTACTTACAGTGGCCTACACTGCCATCATKGGCTTCCTGCTGCTTCCTCTGTTACAGTCCCCCTAGCTTGGTATAGCTGCCCTTGCACGTTATCCCCCTAACTCCACACCCTCCCCTGATGCCTGTTCCTGCCCTCAGCCCTTGCTTCTTCCTTGTTGAAGGTATGTGGTTAATGGCACTGTTTACTGTGCTTTTGTACCTGGGCATCCAATTGCCATGCATATTAAGTTTTATTTACAGTTCTTGGAGTTCGCTCAGATTTCTTAATGCAATATTCAAGTCCATCCAAGTTAGCAAAATGTAGAAGACAGGTTTTGAAGTGCATGTCCTTGAATGAACCGCCTAGCCACCCTTGTGGTTTCCTGGTCTGCAAAATGTGCCTAGCAAAACCCCTCCCTTTCARGGTTATTACAAAGACTGAACAAGATCAGTTACCAAATCCAGTGGGCAGTGCCTGGAGCACGGTGGGTTACACACGAACCTTGAGGACTGAGAGGTCAAGTTCACACAGAACCTCAGCCGAGTTAGTCCATTCTTCCAAGCTGCTACTTTCCATCCCCCACCCACCGCCAACTTGAGATGGACCCCAGGGACATTCTCCCACTGAGCTGCATYCCAGCCTTTTTAATTTTGAAACAGGGTCTGTGCCTAACTTGAACTTGCCATCCTCCTGCCTCAACCCCCTGAATTGCTGGGATTACAGGCTGGTGCCAACCTCTTCCTTTTTAAAGAGGTTATGAAGAGAGTTGATTAGGCCATGTCTGCAAAGCACTAAACTGTGAAGTATAAAGTCTGGGGAATATGTCGTCCTGTCTCTGGCACATAGTAGGTGCTCTACAGACTAATTGTRGAACAAAACAAGGAGCAGTTGTAGTCAATGAGAAAGGACAGAAGTYCTTTCCATGAGGAAACACTTGGTACAAATGCTAGCACTGCCCCAACCGTCATGGACATGCTGGCTGGCCTCACTTTTGGGGAACTCAGTGTCTTCTGCTAAGATTGGAAAGTAAATYTTTTCTTTATGGACAATAAAAGGAACATGCAGCCCTCAAGACGAGACCTAAGCTGTGTCCATTTGAGCTGTGAGGCTAATTCCAGGCCTCCTAGGTTTCCCTAACCCTCCTGCCCTGTGGGCAGGGGGCCAGGATTGTCTGGTATGGGTGGGAGTAGGGATCCTTGAGGGTGATCAGAGTTCTATATGAACTTCTTAAGCAAAATTCCATAAACTCGTGTGCAGGAAGCCCTAAGAGAAGCAGAGGTTGGATTGCCTTGGGCCTCTTGGGGCAGGGGCGGGGGGCAGGGGGAACATCAGGGTGTGCTTTATTAATCTATTAATTCATTTATTTTTGCCTATTTTCAGTGATCCTGATTTAGGACAGATACCTTTCACCTGGAATGGGGAAATTTGCCATTTGGGCTGCGTCTGTGAGCACCCAGATTTCCTGCTTGGAAGAGTGAGAGCCCTAATGGTGGGCAGAACAAAGGGCACTTGGGCAGCAGCCTATTTGTCCACCTCTCTCCCTGGGGGCCTAGAAGTCAGAGCAGCTGGTGTTGGAGTGTGGTGTGTGTGTGTGTGTGTGTGTGTGTGTGTGTGTTGGGATGGGGGGTGGCCTTACCTACATACTCGCCCCTGGTGAAGGGCAGGGCAGGATGGATGGTCCTCGTTTCCTGCTCGGCTGGAGGCGGCTCATAGCTATCATCCCCATTCTCCTCTGCAGGCATCACGTACATCTCTGAGTCTGAGTGCTCATCTGGATTTTCATAGTCGCTGTCCTGCAAACGTAGACACTACGCTCAGTGTACCTGTGTCCCTTAGTCACCAGCACAATTCCTACCATCGCAGGTCAAAGTGGTTCCCCCAGTGTGGTGATGGGGAAGCCAAGGCTGGGAGATGCTGACCTTGCAAGGTTAGGCAGCTAACAAGAGGCAAAGCGGGGTCTGAGCCACACCTTCCTCCCTCCAGAGCTTGTTCCTTTGACCCTGCAGCACACTATTTAAACATGAGGGTGACTGAGACTCTATTTGTAGGCCAAGAACAGAAGATAAAATACATTTTTAAAAGATAGAAAAAGGACCCAATCAATAAATAGAATAACCAATAGGTTTTTTCTATCATAAATGCTGAGAAAATAGGAGAAAGTGAGGGGATGCCCCAGAAAACAACACAGATGTCTTTGARGGGATGTGGGTTGTTTTGTTTTGTTTTAAGCAGAGCTAATAAGCCAGGGGAAGAGAGGAGTCTAGACCTGAAACACATTCAGAATCCATTCTCTTTCTTTCTTTCCCTTTTTTTAAAAATACACATTTTAAATCCACATTAAAATACACTGGTATGGTCTGATGCTCAAACAGTGAAGATGAAGTCTTTCTAGACTCTTCTCTCCCTTGACACAGGGAATAGCATGTTSTAAACGTTTTCCATAGATAGCTTATCCGAACCATTTATGCATACAATAATATGGAGGAGATGTTTGACTCAGACTTAAGAGGTCTTCTGACCTCTGCATCTACCTCCCTTCCCACTGCCTATCACAATGCATGATCCACACATGGATTTCCAATGAATGGATGGGGAACTTGCTTTTTTAGCTTATTTTCTTTCACTTGCAATTTTTATAACAGGAATTCCTCAGGCARACCTGGAGGCTTTAGGAACAAGCTTGGATTTTATCCTGTGTGCAATGTTGGACCACTACATGAAAAGTAATGGTGAGTGGACGTTTACTTAATTCTTGTTACAGCTGGTATCTTCATTTTGGTTTTTTGACTTTGGGGCAAGTCATTTCCTCCTCTCCAAGCTGGTTTTACTTGTGTTTTCTATGCCCCCACTGTGTGCTTTTTATTCAGCCCCAAAATTCCATTTTCTCTCTCCTCTGGATGTAGACCACTGGGCTTCTTTGTTTTGCTGCAGATGCAGCCCTGTGATGCAGCCAGGAGGGGGCGCAGCTGCAGCACGTCTGGGGATTAGCAGCTGCAGAGAGCTCTGGTAGGGGCTCCAAACCCAAGTGGCTGGTAGGGAAATCACCTCTTCCCCTCATTTTTATTTTCTTTTTCTGTGGTTGAAAAAGGGGGAACTGCTATATCCTATGGCTGCATAAGCTCCAGGTGGTATACACAGCCCAGAACTGGGCTCAGGCCTGATTTTGATGCCTACGTGGAGGTCTGCCTCCTGGGTTCTCATTCCACTGGCCACTGAYTGACAGAGGGAAAATCATTTTAATTCTCAGTTTCTATTTTCTTCTCTGGGAAGTGGGTGCCTMGGTGTGTGGAGCCTTCTTGGATTCTCTGTATATCTGAAACTCAGATTGGATCAGGGTGGCATTCTAAATGAATTTGATGTACATTAGTATTAATTTTTGTGAGGAAGGACATCTTGTCTGCACAAGACTCAACCTAAGAGACAAGTGGCTTCAGGGGCTCTTGCAATTGTGACAATACCTTGGGGAGGTCCACAATTCATTCTGACACACCACCTACCAATGTCTCCATGGCCTGTTCCCTCTCTCTTACTCTGTGGTTCCCAGAGTTCTGATAGTGTCCTCCAGGCCACAGTAGCCACCTCAGTGGTTGTGAGTCTGGTTGTGAGCTCTGAGGGCCTGGGTTGAATTTGGAACTGCAAGTTACTGACACTTTCCATAGTTGGTCCTGGAGGTACTTTTCTGTAGGTATTAACTCTTTCATTGTTAGTGTGTTTGGGCTCTAGGACAGGGGTCAGGAGGTGACAGAACACAAGGGAATGTAGGGCAGAGGCATTTACCAACGGATAGAGAAATACTTAAACATTTTAACATCTATTTTGSCTGTGTGGTGACAGCACTGAAAATCTCGTTAGGGCTGAGGTGAGAATTAAATGAGACAAGGAAGGTCAAGTTCTTAGCCTGGCACATAGTGAATGCTGGGTCAAGCCGGCCATCCTGAGCTTACTTCTGCCTCRTCGGCGGGTTGCCTTTCCAGACCTGCCCTCTTCCTGTGAGGTGCAGCTGAACACCAGTGAATAATTCAGAAACAATTCCTCCACAAGGCCTCTCACAGGGCCTTGGTATCCTCCCAGACCCCAGAGCAAATACTTACAAAGTCATCTGACCACTGCTCCTCGTCAGCAGGACTCTCTGAAATGGTATGAAGGACACAGAGTGTATAAGCATAAACCTCAGCTGGCCAGCTCCAGCCTGTCCTCAAGTCCCCACACCTGCATTCCCTTCCTTGGGGCCTCCTGTGGCCTTTTTCTTAGCCTTAAATAATTATTGCAGTCAGATGTTCATTTATTTTTTAGTTTTTTTAAAATTGATTCTCAAATCATAAAGTTCCACTGGARCAGCGCCAAGGTGCTTCTGACCTGTGCCTGTCTTTGTCAAGGGACACTTCTGGGGCCTTAGAATAACTCAGTAGAGACCTGCAGTCCATTCCATGGCTTCTAAGGCTTTCTTTGGATCAGTATGTGAATCAACATGGAGTAGGAAGAGCACTGGACAGGGAGACAGGTCTTAATTCACATCCTGATTCTAAGTTTGATTTTGTTGTTGTTTAAAAAAAAATCATCCAGAGCTTTACTTATACCAAGCAATGTTATCAGAGCTTTGCACCTTTTTGGCATCCTCAAAAATCTTGTAAGGAAACTGAGGCCTAGAGCAGATAACTCATGTGCCCAAGGTCAGATAGTAAAAGGCAGAGAGAGTAAAGGGCAGGAGCAGAACCCTGCAGATTGACTTCAAAGCTCTTTCTCTGAACCCCCAAACCATATTGCAGTCAATGTCCTGGGGTTTGTAGGGGACACACAAATGAATGTGACAGGCTGTGGGCCTAAAGTAACTTATCAGTTTGAAGAATAAGGTAGGTCTGARTATTTCTCCTCCAAAACACATTTTGAGTTTAGCCTCTACCCCATCACATAAACTGACCATATGTTTTTGTTTTGACATTTCAATAGAAACCTTTAGACAATGCCTGTATGAAACCCAGTGCCTCACCTTCCTAAATCAGATTTGCTGAGCCTTTTCTCAGTGAGTCAGGGTCTACTTTACCACCAGGTGAATGTAGTTGCAGTAATCATCTAACTGGTTCCTCTCTCTGTCTCCGTTATCTTTCTTCTCTAACTCATCTGTCCTTCAGTTTTAGTTGTTTTCTTGAAACAAAGGTCAGATCATGCTGATCCTTTCCTCAAGAATCCCGTGACCCCCTATGGAATAAAATCAAGGTTCTGCATCGGGACATTCAAATGCTCYGCCCACTGTCCCTCCTTGGACTTCTCTTGCTGCAGACTTCCATTCCCGCTTACAGTGGCACCAAGGAAGCTTGCTCCCGGGAGTGTGCGCTTTCACTAGTTCTCTGCTCTGCTCATGCGGTTCCCTAGCCTGTCGTCCTTCCTCCTTGGAAATTCCTATCCTTCCTCCCCCATAAAGTCTTCCCCAGAACCTCTTGACACAATCATTTGCCCTCTCTTCTGGGCCCTCTTGCATCTCTTTTGGTGCCTTGTAGTCATAAGCACTTCACCCTCTCCTGGGCTATGATTAGGTTGTTTGCGTCTCTCTGGACTGAAAAGCAAGGCTTATCTAACTTATCTTTGAATTTGGATGGTGTTTTGCATTTGAACTGCATGCACTGGTCAAAGTATGAACTAATAAGTGAGTCAAATGAAAATCAGGATGATAATAATGGATTCCTATGGTCTGGGTGCTAGGCTAATGTTATAAAAGTCTATCCTGATAATAACACTGGGTATGTGTGGTTATTGTCTCTATTTTATAATTAAGAGGTCTGGGCCTCTCTCAGAGAGGTTGCAAAAAACCTCATGATTGATGAATATAGGGGGTGAATTGGAGGCCAGGCTACCTGTGTTGGCCCCTGTTGCTGATATCTCATGTGAACTGCCTAGCCCTCCACTGAGCATTCAGATAAAACCCAGGGAAAGCAAGAATGATCCAGTCCAGACATCTTGGCACAATGGAGGCAAGAAAAGGTAAAAGGGGCCTTGAGGTAGAGGTTACTGATGGCATCCCACCCACCTAGCTACTTCTGTCTGGTCCAAGGGCAATTCACAGTACTATGCTTGCAAAGTCACAACCTTGCCGGCCATGACCTAGAGTACTAGACCCAAAGTCATGGCTGGCTCTCTGGTGAGTCAGGGAGCCTCCTGAAGTGTGCAGGTGGTGGTTTTAGAACCAGGCAGTCTGGGTTCAAATCCCKGCTCTGCTCTGTACTAGCTGCTTGTACAAGGATTTAATATCACTTGGAGCAAGGATTTAATATCACTCAAGGCTCAATTTTCTCACTGTAAAACAGGGATAATAATAGGGRCTGCCTCATGTTTTAGGGAGACTCAAGTAATACAATACCTGTAAAGTGCTTTGCAAAACCTGGCAAACAATGAGGATTAATTTTATTTTTGCCTTGGATATTGCAAATGTCACAATAAGCCCTCAAAACACCACCAATACTAATTTGCCCTAGGGACAATCATGCAGTATGGCCACCACAGACAAATRGACCCAAGAAAGCCTCTAGTGTATWGGCTAAAATGTTGGGGAGGATTAAGTTCCTGTTTGCTCTGGGCCAGTGGTTTAATTGTGTGTGTGTGTTTACACAGCYCCACCCAGAGAGCTAATATCCTGGTCAGGCCACCTTGTCAGGCAAAGYCTTTCCCAGTGTGTCCTTTCTGGGACTTATGGGCTTATGCTCCATTTGTCATGTCAGAATCCCATGGTGTACAATGGAGGGTTGGAACCCTTTGCCTGCCTGGCCCAGGCAATCGGGACTCCCATGCTCAACCTGACCTATGGGACAGCACCAGGTACTGGGAGGCACCTGGGAGTGACTGTGACTGCTCTAGACCAAGACACAGGGGGTGGAGGTTGGGTGCTGGGGTCAGACTGCCTACCTCAGAGCCCTGAGCCTGCCACCTGGCAGCAGCATGGTCTTGGCCAAGTTGCTTAACATCAGAGCCTGTTTCCTTGGCACTGATCTGGACATTGGTGATAGCCTCTCTCACAGTTTTGAGGGAATGAAAATGAAAGAATATTGCAAAGTGCTCAGAAGAGTATCTGACAGAGTAAGGGTTCAATGAATGTTGGAAAAAGAAAATTTGCATTCTACAATTCTTAGAAAATCTTAAAGGGTAGATTCTTTTTCTACATCAAGGATCAGAGGCTCAGGAAAGTTGCAAAGCTGTTCCAAGTTCACACAGTGCTCAGAGGGCAAAGCCAGGATTGCAGTCCGTCCTAAATGACCCCAAAGTCCAAGGTCTTCACACCAAAGCWGCTTGCATAATGGAAATAAAAGACCTGAAGACTGAAAGCACGATCATGCATTATATGGAGCACAGTCCACAGTAGGGTAAAATTTCTTGATTAGCATTTGGCACCTGGACTCTTTGCTGGGAAAGCTCAGAGAAAGGCATGTTGCATATGAGGTGAAGGTTGGCTGCACCTGGCTGCATGCTGGATGTAGGACCGAGAGAGACTTCGAAGATGGCAGGATTCCAGGGAGGCATCTTCCTCCACTGGCTAACCAGGGGCTATGTGTCAGTCCTAGAGGAGGGCTGAGCCAGGGGACAGGAAGGGACCTCCACAAGGAGGCACAGGAAGCCATGCTGAGTAACACAGAGCTAGACGGGCTGTCAGTCAGCCGCGGTGCACCCTGCGATGAGCAGCTGATGAGGGTGGCTTTGAAGACATGAAGGCTGACCAGACTGGAGTTCTGAGACTGGGGAGGGATGGCTGGAAGGACAGTGAAGGGCTCTGTGGTGAGCCTGGAGCACAGTGGGGAAAGCGCAGGTGGGAATCCAGCCTCTGGGTCCCAAGTCCCCAGGAGTGCCAGAGACCCTAGAGCAGATGCCTGAGGTGTCTTGGCCTCAGCTGGGTCCTCAGTCCTGCTCTGCAGGCCATGCTCTGGACCACTGGCCCTGCACATTTCTTCCCCTACAGAACTGGTGGTGGCACTCAGGAAGCCAAAGGGAGGGAGGAAAGGAGRCAGGCATGCATCTGGCAGTGGTGTGGGGATAGATGCAGGGACCTAAAGAAACCACAGAGCCTTTGGGGAGGCAGTAGAGGCCTGTTCACCAAGCACCACCCTGAGGGAAGAGAGTGATGTGATTTAGTATAGAGGCAGAGGACAAGGCCAGGGCCAGACTGGCTAGGAGAGGTGTTTTGAGTCTAAACACTTAACACTTAGGAACTTCCTCTGTCTGTATGTTTATTCATCTTTCAAGGAATCATCCGCAGGGGAGTAGGGTACAGTAATGGGGCCTACAGTCCTGGCTCAGCTGGGACCTCACTGTGTACCTTGGGTGGTTACTTTGCCTCTCTGGTCTCCAGTTATCCCTAAAATGAGAAGTGTGGATTGGGTGATCCTTGAGAACCTTCTAAGTTTTTAAAACACCGTTGAGTCCAAGTTTCCTTCTTCTACTCTTAGTTCCCCGGGCAGGACTCATCCTGAATACGGCAGCCTTCTGTGTTGGCTTCGCCGTACCCACACATTAGAGCATAAACAAGGACATAGAAAATTGAGAAAATGCTGGCCTGGGCAGGATGCCAGGGCAGGGCAGGGCAGGAGCAGTGTTAGGTCTCACTTCTCTAGTGGACAAGGATGGCTGTGTCCCTTCTGCATCTGTGGTGGGCATTTACCCAAAAGTGCCCCCTGGGAGTCTTTTCCCTTTCCTTCTTTTTTCTTTTTGAACAAATAAACACTTATTTAATTTAATTTTTTTGAGTGGGAGTAATTTTTATTTTTTTTATTTTTTAAATTAAGTTTATTTTTAACTGACACATAAAAACATAAAAATAATACATATTGATGGGGTAATGTGATTTATTTTGATGCATATATATGTTGTATAATATTTAAATCAGGGTAAAGCATCCCCTGAAACATTTGCCATTTCTTTGTAATAAAAACTATCAACATCCTTTCTACTAGCTTTTTGAAATGTACAGTACACGGTTGCTAGTTGGAACCATCCTATTCTGTGGCAGCCAGAACTTCTTGCTTCTATCTAATGGTGAATGAGCACCTGGTGGTCAACCCCTYCCCATCCCTCTCTTCTCCCTACTCCCCCAGCCTTAGGAAACCACCGTTCTAGTGTCAACTGCTGTGAAATCAGCTTTTCTAGATTCCATGTTTTAATGAGATCCTGGTCTCATTTTTCTGTGCCTGGCTAATAATGAGCACAGTGATCTCCACTTCCCTCAGGGCTGCTGCGAGGACAGGACTTTGTTGTTTATTTATGGCCAAAGAGTATTCCACCATGTGTATAGGTACTATATTTATCCACTTAGTAGTTAATGGACACTCAGGCTGTTTCCATTTCTTGGATCTTATGAATAATGCTAAATTAAATATGGGTGTGTGGATGTCTCAGCATATTGATTTCATTTTACACACACACACACACACACACACAGTAGTAGGATAATAGGGTAGTTCATCCGTTTGTTCCTTCCTTCCTTTTTTCTGTACTGGTGATAGAGTCTAGAGCCTCACACATGCTAGGCAAATGCTCTGCCACTGAGCTATACCCCAAGTTCCTATTTTTAATATTTTGAGGAACTTTCATACTGTTTTTCAAATTGAATGTGCTAATGGAGTCTTTTTCTTATAATTGCTCTGATGCCCTCCCTACGTAGCATCAGTAGCAAGAGAAGGAGAAGAAGATGGATCTCCTGGAATGTCACCACAGCCCCTGGAGATCAGGGGCCAATGGTACAAGAAAAGAGGCCTTGTTCAGTTTGGGCCCTACAGGGGTTTGTGGAGTGACCAGAGGGCTTCTGCAATGACCCTCAAAAGCTCTGAAGAAGCGTCCCCTGCCCTATGTCCCAAGCCTGATATCACATTTCAAAGATGTAGGAGACAGTTCAGCTGTGACGGCTCAGGAACTGGGAAGCAGGTCTTGAGGTGGTTAATGTCAGCGCCTGGTGCCTTCAGAACAATAATACATGTTCTAGAAAAGTATAAACCTCTTAGCTTGGTTCAAAGGGAGAAGCAGTAGAAAGAGACTGAGTTGGGTTTCCCCCTTAGTGGCTGTAGTTACCTTGGGCAGGTTATTTAATGTCTCTGAGATGCAGTTTCCTCATCTGCAAGACTGGAGACAGTAATTTCTGCATAATGGTGTTTGTGGGAAGATTAAATGAGATATACTGGTAAGGAGCTTAGCATAATGCCCAGAGCAGAGTAAATACCCACAAGTTTGGGATTTCTTCCTTCCCACAGCCAAGCCAACTCCCTGAGACCAACAGGGAGGGCCAACCATGAGGTCCCTGCAGTCAGGGTTGGTGGGTCTGAACCTGAAGCCTCAGGTCTCCATTATTTAGTTACCTCGAGCTTTGTTCTGCAGTCTAAGTAGGGGAGGAACTATCACAACTCTCTTAACAACTTTTAGCTGGACGCTAGCTCTGTCCACCAGCTGCCCCCAGGGAAGTCGGCATCACTAACGTCAACCGACTCCTGGCTTAGAGGGATTAGGCAAGCCGTTTCCCTCCAGGACTGAAAACTGAACATAATTCCAGTGTCTGGGGGAAACAGGTGGGGACCACATCTCCACAGGTCTCTGGAGAGCAGTAGTCTGGCCTCCCAGGTTCGGGGGTCTGGTGGGCTCAGATATTCCAGCACTGGGATCACAGAGGTCCTTGAAGACTCCCTGGGTGCAGGAGGAGCTTCAGGGCTGATTTTTGAGGCTCTGGGCATGCAGCTGGCAGGGAGTTGTGGCTCAGGGGAAGCAGCTGGAAATGCTCCTGAGACTTGAATAGGGGCGAGGGAGAGAGGGCTGGGGGACTAACTGCAGGTGGTGATGGTGGTTTTGCCAAAAGACAGTTTCCAGGAATTGAGCATAAGAGCAGAGAGACTGAGCCAGACTTCATTGGCAAAGCAAATAGTAAGAATTTCAGAGATTCTGGACTCAATGGATTTGGGGGGACCCACTTGCCTTTCAGGTTGAGAGAATCGATAAGGACAAAGATAGCAGTTTATAGCAAGATCTCTCAACTTTAATCTGCATGAGTTCTTATTAAAATGCCCATTCTTAGGCAGTGGTCATACTGCAGAACTGAGATTTCTCTCTCTTCCTTTTCAGTGTTACTGGGGATTGAACCCAAAGCCTCACACATGTTAGGCAAGTACTCCACCACTGAGTTAAATCTTCAGCCCCTTTTCCATTTTATTCTGAGACAGGGTCTCACTAAGTTGCCAGGTGGGCCTCAGATTTGCAATCCTCCTGCCTCAGCCTCCTGAGTAAGCTGGGATCACAAGCATGCACCACTGCACCAGCCAAGCAATAGTATATTTCTAACAAGTTTGTATATTCTGTTGCTGTTGCCAGGCTACAGAGAAAGAGGTTAGAAAACCCATCTTCTAAGTTGGGCCATGTTTCTGTGTTCCAAGAGACATCGAGCCCCAAGGCCCTGATATCAAGACTATTTGGAGTATTTCAGGGGAGAGAGCAGATATCTGAGGTCAAGAAAGAACACTTTGGAGCAGCAAGAAGATTGGAAGATGCAAATTCCTAAAGCCAGGGAATTTTAGGAGGGGCTCACTTCAACACAGGGCTGCTGGCCCCAAAGATCTGTTTCCATAGAGGTGCAGAGGGTTGGCACTGGAAGATCCTAACAGATTGCCTAGTTCAGTCCCCAAATAATAAAGATGAGCCCAGGAGAGGGATATGTTCCAAACTCCAGAGTCAGTTAGTGACTGGACATCAAGGACCTTGCAACTGGGCTCCGAGATGTGCAATGCCTCTTATTGGTGATTTTATTTCAGAGTAATTCTCTGGTGGAGGATGAGAATTAGGAGACATGGAATTAAGAATTAAGAAACTAGGAATCAAGGAGAATCCTTAGGACAAGTATGAAATGGTGGGGGGGGGACAGAGCTGTGGCTATGGGAATAGAGAGGGAGAGACTTTAGAGAGATACTTAAGAGAATCAGTAGGATGAAGGGATGAGCAAGCAGACAGGTGAGCACAAGGGGACAACTGGGAGAAATGGACATCCTGAAGTCACGAATATCATTCTACTTAGGTTTCCAAGAATTGACTCTGAGCTCCTAGCATTGTGTCCAGCATCTCCAATGCTCTTAGTTCATCAAGTGACAACATTCTTGCACATTTGTCCCCCAGAACTTGAATTAAATACCTCCTTCTCAGAGAGACCTTCCTAGACTGCTTAAGTTGTCCCCACCTGACGGTGACTCCCATCATTGCACCTGCCATTTTCCTTCATAGCAGTTATCATGCTTGGGAAATGACACTATCTGCTTGCAATCTGGTGCATTATTTGACTTCCCACTAGTCATTATGCACCTGAAGGTCAGAGACTATATTCTGTTCCCTATTCCATATCTAACACAGTGAGAGTTACAAGGGACACACTTACGAAATATTTGTTGAGTGAGTCCAAGCCTGTGGGAACAGCAGAAGCACCTGGAGGTGTTTATTTGAAGGAAGAAACTATCCAAATGTCCTAACTCTCAATTTGGTGCTTTGGAGTTGCACAGAACAACTGTTTCTACTCTTTATTAGTTAAAGATTTGTGCTGTGTGGCCATTAGGATAGACACAGGAAGCCACAGGAAATGAATCCCATCCATGTCCAACCAGGGCTGTCCACCCTCCCTGGACCACACAGGTTTGAGAAACCATCACTGCAGGTGTTCGAGCAAAAACTGGACTTCCTCTGTGAAGGGACGCGGTAGTAGAGTAGGGTTTAAGTCTTATATAAACTCTGGAATTTCTTTTAAATCCCAAGATGCCATAATTTCATATTTTTTCCATCAAACCTATCTAGATACTTGACAGTTCTGGTTTGCTTTCTTTCATTCTTTTTTTTTTCTTTCTCTCTTCAGAACTTGGATAGAAGAATGCATTTGTTCTCATTTAACCAAGCTTTCTTGACTTGTGGATTAGGTAAATTGTAAAGCACAGGACAGGATCCTGTCCTGTAGTTCCAAACGACACAGGAATCCCCTAATCAACTCTCAACCTACTGACTGGTTGGTAAAGTCAAAAAATACTCTAAAGTTAGGGAAAATGCTATGAATTAGTGACTAGACTTGGGTACGTTGGAATTTCTCTACGTGATAAGAAGAATCAACTGTATTATTCATTGCTATCTTGATCAGTGACCATCACTTAAGGTTATGATTTGGTTTTAGCTGTGGTCCCACAGAGGAAGAATGATGAAGGATGTCTGTAATCTTGTGGTTCTCTCTCTCTCTCTCTCTCTCTCTCTCTAAATATTTTTTTAAGTTGTAGATGGACATAATATCTTTATTTTATTTATTTATTTTTATGTGGTGCTGAGGATTGAACCTAGTGCCTCATATGTGCTAAGCAAATACTCTACCACTGAGCCATAATCTCAGCCCAAATTCTGTGGTTTTCACTGAGGAATGTATAGGCAACATATGTCTATACATTCCTCAGTGAAAACATCCATCTTTAAACTTAATGCTATAGATCAAGATTTTAGACTTATCTTCCCATCTCTCTAGGAAAGGAAAGTCTGTTGGATATTTTACTTTGTTCACAAAACTAAACCTTCTCCCACCAAAGTTGATGCTAGCTGGAATGGGGTTGTAGGCTAAACTCAGAGAAGACTGAGTCACCACAGGCAATCAACAATTTATTCCCTCAACCTTTCAACCTCCCTCAAGTATGCATTTAAACAACTTTTTGCGGAGGAAGACGTCCCTCCCTGCATCACCTATCACAGATTAGATTAGGTCCCTCTGCTACACACTTTCCATYCCACACAGAATTGTAATTACTTCTAACATCAGCTATCTTCCCTTCTAGACATAAATTCTRTGAGTGTGGAGACTGTAGCTAACTTGTTTAACCCTGTTTCTACTTAAGACCTTGTATATGCCTGGGACATGCAAGATGCCTAATAGATGATAAGTAGCCGAAGAGATGGATGAATGGAGGGAGGGAGGGACAGGGGAATGCTACATCTGCACTACAGTCAAATGTCTAATGGGTTGGGTCATTCTTGAAATCAAGATTGGCATCTTTTTTTTTTTTTTAAATGAGTAGAACATATTTCCCTCTCCAACAAAAAATATATATAAACATTAAATTAGTCAAAAATCAGTTACAGTATTTTAGAAATACTCTTACCTAAAGCATAGTCCCTTCGAGGAACACTTGGAGGTGCTTTGATTTTCAACCTATAGATAAAAACCATTAGACCAAGGGTCAGTGGGTAGGACAACTCTTGCCAATGCACACAATATACATAGAGAGGACAAACAAATGACAGAGTAAAGTCCTCTTTGGACCCATCACATTGAAGGATTTAATGTGCTTTAATGTGCTATAAACATAGCGAAGCCACTGGTCAGAGGTTTCCCACCCCTCCCGAGCTCCCCATGTGGCCATGACTTGGTGGAGTTGGGTGGTCAAGGGACTTTGAGAGGTCAGAAGGTCAGTAAGCACTGAGTCAGAGGTTCAAGGAAGATAAGAGTTGGCTGGCTGCTAGGAAGGTAAGAGAAGATGAGCTGTATTTTAATAGTTTACAAATGCTTTAAATAAGAGGACAAAAATCAGCTATAATAGCACTTTAGTTGTATTAGGCCGAGATTATTTGGGGGCCAATTAAAAACATGACAAATAAGTGAGCACCGAGTATCTCAAGATGTAAGGTTTATAGTAGATTATTATTTTTATAATAATTACCCATTCTATTTAAGAATGGCTTGCTTAATGGAATTTTAAATACATACACAAAGCTTATCCCCAGTAGCTTTGTCTGACTAAAATATCATATCCCTTTATATAAGCAGTACAGGGTAACCATTATGTATAAAATTTATTTTTTCAAAAAACATAGCACAGAAATTCATGTTTGATTAAAATAAGAAAAAACTTTACAAACTAGAATCATTATTTTGCCAAGAAAAACATTAKTATTTGTACAGAAATTCTTGAGTGCCCCCCTATAGTCTCTCATATCTATTATCTCATTCAATTCTCCTTACGAGGCAACAGAGTATGCTGGGAAAATATTATCATTAAACTTATGATGAGATCTGGAGGGAAAAATTGGCCAAGGTGTCTTGGGGAAAAAAAAAAAATCTGGGTCTGGTGCTCAGGTCAGTTCATGAAACAGTAAAAATTCAAAACACACAAACCAACTATTATCCACTATTGCCATCATTACATAAAAGGAAAGAAAGGGTATTTTAACAACCCTAAATCATTTCCCAATAAAGACCAAGCTCAAGAAAGGACTGCTGGCCACTGAATACGGGTTGGGAATAAAAGGAGTGGTTTGAACTTGACTTAGAAGCCAGCAGCTACACACCACCCCAACACTGTACTGTCTTTCTCTGCTCATGTGGCCACAGACCCGTGAAAACTGTCGTGGTCTTGCAGAAAGGAAGCTGTGTGTTCAACTGTGCTTCCGCCTTTCAAGGGAGCACCTGTCACCTTGGCTTCAAGTGAGAGCTTAATTCTAAGTCACTTTCAATCAAGGGGCCCTTGACTTCACCCAGGGTAATGACCACCGCAGCCATGTTTGCCAGACTGAGAAGAAACATGATTTGTCAAGTAAAAGTGCTCTGGGGTACAATGGGCAGAAAGTCTGAAATAGAAATTGTCAGTGAACATGCCGTGACCATGACCGACCATGGAACAGAGAAACATTCTATGCAGAACCTTCATATTATTGAGAACCAGAGGATGGTAAGTCTGGTAACTACAAGACACTTAATCCAGAATCACCAGTAATCGTAACAATGATTAGTGGGGCTCTCTCATGGAGAATGACAGTCTGTAYGTATCAGAAATAAATGAAAATAGCCAGGTATGTGTGGTGGCGCACACCTGTAATCCAGCAGCTAGGGAGGCTGAGGCAGGAGGATTGAGAGTTCAAAGCCAGCCTCAGCAACTTAACAAGTGATACCTTGTCTCAAAATTTTTTWAAAAAATTAAATAAGAAAGGGTTGGGGATGTAGCTCAGTAGTTAAGCATCCTTGGGTTCAATCCCAGTTACCAAAAAAATAAATAAGAAATAAAAATAAAAGAAATAAATGAAAATAATCACACACCTCTCCCAGTTACAGGACAGAACAGGTGACAAATTCTTCCCCTCTATAAGATGATCACTGCCCGACAAGCAGAAAACCATTTTAACTGCTTTATGATGATTACTGATTACATATTGAGATTCATTTATAGTTTTCAGTCTAAAAATACCACCAAAAGTGACTTCATACTTTTATGTTCAGACTTTGAAGTTCAGCAAAGTCCCAAAGAATGACGATACCCTGCTCTGAAGACAGAGAGAGATGAACTTTTTTATACACTATCATTGGCACAAAATTTKGGGAAGGAAATTTAGTAATAGCAATAAAAAAATTTAAAGGCACAACTCCTTCCATTCATAAATTTTATTTCAAGACTTTAGTTTACTGATATACTCCAAGTCTGCAAAGAATATTTATTAAAGTGTTATTTGTGACAGTTAAATGGAAACAAACAGCTAGAATTTTCTTTAATATTTATTTTTTAGTTATAGTTGGGCACAATACCTTTATTTATTTATTTATTTTTATGTGGTGCTGAGGATCGAACCCAGGGCCTAGCACGTGCTAGGCAAATGCTCTACCACTAGAAATTTTTGATTGATATGATCAAACTGCCCTCCAAGAAGGTTTAAACTCACATCCTCCCCCTTACAAAAATGTCCACCAATATATAGTTTGTTTCATTATGTTTATGATAGACTACTGATCAGCTATTTGGAAAAATAATGTGGTTTACCTACTAATAAAGAAAGATGTCCATRACAAAGCATTAAATAAAACCCATAGCCAGGTGTCGTGGCGCATGCCTGTAATCCCAGCAACTCTGGAGGCTGAGGCAGGAAGATCGTGACTTTGAGGACAGACTCAGCAAATTAGTAAGACCCTAAGCAACTTATCGAGACCTTGTCTCAAAATAAAAATCCAAAGGGTTGGGGATGTAGYTCAGTAGTAAACTGCCCCTGAGTTCAATCCCCAGCACCAAAATAAATAAATAAATCCAACAGAGCAAGTTGGTAGAAAGGTGTATGTAGCATGATACCATGATGAAAATGAAATGTGCATAGGTACTATGTTGGTGCATGAATATGTGTGCCTGAATATATATGTGTATATATATGTATACATATATACACATATATATACACATGCATATGTATGCACACACACACACACACACACACACACACAGAACTCACTCAGGACAACGTCTCTTTCTGGGGAGTGGGTTAAGGTAAGATTGTGAGAAGTGGGCAATTTTGACTTCAAACAATTCTGAATTCTTTCATTTTTTTTTCTCCCTGCCAAATCTTTCATCAAAACAAAACTTGAACACAATATTAATTTGCCTCTCCTTTTGACTTAGATTTTGAGTGGCAAGTGCAGGTACATAGAATTTCTATTTTCTCTGTAAGAAGCTTAAGGGGTTTTGGTGTACAGGAAGATTTGGAATTCTAGCTTTCCTTTCCCACGTGCTTGTTGAAAACACTGATAATTAAAATTATTTAAAAAGTGGAAATCAAAATGTAGGTGACAGTTATGGCATCTCAAAAAAGTGAGGGCTGAGTTTTGTGACTTCTTATTTGGATTTCTCCAGGTGTCTTGCTTTGGCATGTGCTGGGCACCCTGAATGAGCACAGCTCACCTCTTCTTTGGTGAGAAGGAAATCCCTAGTTTCCCCTGAATACAGCGCACTCATGGCCTTGTTTCCAGAACACAGACCTAACCCATGCTTCCAGCCACCAGCAAGAAAGGGTGGGTGACATGCTAAACAGGTTGCACCTCCCTGTACAGATTGACTTATTGTATTTGCTTCTCTCACTTAGCAAGGGTTAACTTATTTAAATACATAAATATTTAAATAGTCTCACTTTTTTATTTTGTTCATTATTCCTCCTTCATTGTTCTTAATATCATGGACCATCTTTTGAAGTTGCCTGTAAGAAACAAAATTAAACAAAAATGTTAATAGCAGGAATTATATTGTATTTAGTTAAGTGAACAATTTGAAAACTTTATTTCCGGCCTCATTTCATTTCATTTTATCAGGGTTTTTTTTTTTGTTGTTGTTGTTGTTTTCATCAAATAAACTCCAGAATCTGATAGACCAGTGGTTCTCACTTTAAACTGCACCAGAATCTCCTACAGGGTTAATGAATGGTATCGGGCCAGGCCCTGCCCCCCACGTTTCCCATGTGGGTGTATCTGTGGTGCTCCTGATTTGCATTGCCAACAAGTTCCCAGGGGTTGGGACACCGCTGGTCAGAAGACCATCCTTGAATCACCACTGTACTGTGATAGATCAGAACTTTTTCCACTGTAACCTTTTAATTGCCAAAGTAAAGCAAAATAACTGCATAAGAAAACTAAAGCCCTTACTGACCCATGTGCAAAGTTTTAAACAAATCAGCTGAGTTGTCAGTCTGATAACAAAATGTGGGAGTGTGCTTTACTAGACTTGCATCTTGATGGGACTCTTGACTTTCCTCTGCATGGATTTAGACCACGCTATGTCTGAAGGTCGGTTCACTTTTAGTCTCATTGCTGGCATCCTCCACCCCGCCCTGCTACTGGGAAAGCCAGGGCTGCTCTGCCTGCTCTCTTCAGCAGTAGTTTGCAAAAGCTGCTGATGGAGATGAAGGGATTACAGGCAAAAACGCCTCTCACATTGCGTGAGCCCCACCCGGGGTGGGACGATTTTGCCATTCCTAACACAGAGCTCTAGAATGTAGTGATGTTGGGGACTGTAAAATTAAATGGAAAAACAAAACAGAGCAACAACATGATCTTTCTCTTTTCCCTTCTCATTTTCTTTTCTCCTTCCTCCTTCCCTTATTATCGATCACATAAATTATACAGCCTTCAATTTTATAACTACTTCTTGTTAAAAATGGACTATAGTCTAAGTAAAAGAAGCCAATCTGAAAAGGCTACATATTGTGTAATTCCAGCTATGTAAATGACATTCTGGAAAAGGAAAATTCTGGAGACAATAAAAAGATCAAGGCTTTCTACAAGTTTGAGGGTAGGAAAGAAGGGGTGAATAGGTAGAGACTAGGGGATTTTTAGGAGAAACTAATTTTGTATGAGACTGTAATAATAGATACATGTAATATGTATTCATTGTATCAAAATTTGGAAATAATATTATAAAACCACTCTTTGGGGGGAGTTCTTTTTTGTTGGTTCTTTTTAGTTATACATAACAGTAGTGTCCATTGTGACAGAATTATACAAGCACGGAATATGTCTTATTCTAATTAGAACTCTAGTTTTATGGAGTTTAACTTTCTTTTTATGGCTGAATAATATTCCATTGTGTATATATGAACCATGTTTTCTTTATCCATTCAGCAGTTGATGGACACTTACGTTATTTCCATTTCTTGGCTCTTATAAAGCTGCAATGAATGTGGGAGTRCGGRTGTCTCTTTGACATGTTGACTTCATTCCCTTTGGATATATATACCATAGTGGGAGTGCAAGCAACATACACAATGGTGAGATTAACTGTGGTGCATCCACACATGTACCTAGGAAGGTTGTCAGATCACTCCACGGTCTTTCCTTTTCCTCTCCCCACTCCCTTCCCTTCATTCCCCTTTGTCTAATCCCCTGAACTTTTATTCTCTTCCTCCCCCTTATTGTGTAAGCTTCCACATCTCAGAGAAAACATTCAACCTTTGGTGTTTGGGGATTGCTTGTTTCACTTAGCATGATCGACTACAGATCCATCCATTCACTGGCAAATGTCATAAAGTCATTCTTCTTTATGGCTGAAAATAATACCTCATTTCTTTATCCACGATTTCTTTATCCATTCACCTGTTGAAGGGCTCCATAGCTTAGCTATTGTGAATTGTGCTGCTATAAACATTGATGGGCTGTGTCACTGGAGTATGCTGATTTAAACTCCTTTGGATATATACCAAGGAGTGGTGTAAGTGGATCAAATGACAGGTCCATTCCTAGTTTTTTGAGGAATCTCCGTACTAGGTGAAGTAAGCCATTACCCTTCGTAGCCTGGTGTGCTGCTTCTCTGCCCCTGTGATCTTTTCATCAGACCCATCATGAGACCTTGATAGAACCTCAGAAGCAGAATGTTTGTGCAAGATTAAATAGTGGTTGCACTAATTTGCTGTCCYACCAGCAATGTATGAGCRTACCCTTTTCCCCACATCCATACCAACATTTATTGTTTCATGTATTCTTGATAATTGTCATTTTTCCTGGAGTGAGATGAAATCTCAGTGTAGTTTTAATTTGCCTTTCTCTGATTGCTAGAGACGTTGAACATTTTTTCAATGTATTTGTTGATCATTGGTATTTCTTCTTCTGTGAAGTGCCTGTTCAGTTCTTTTGCCCCTTTATTGATTGGGTTATTTGTCTTTGGGGTGTTAAGTTTTTTGAGTTCTTTGTTTATCCTGGAAATTAATGCCCTACCTGAGGTACAGGTGACAAAGATTTTCTCTTATTCTATAGACTCCCTCTTCATGCTCTTGATTGTTTCCTTTGCTGTGAAGAAACTTTTTAGTTTGATTCCATCCCATTTATTGATTMTTGATTTTACTTCTTGCACTTTAGAAGTCTTGTTAAGGAAGCCAACATGTTGGAGTGTTGGGTCTACATTTCCTTCCAGTAGATGCAGGGGTTCTAATTTAATTCCTGGGTCTTTGATCCACTTTGAGTTGAGTTTTGTGAGGGTGAGAGATAGGGGTTAAATTTCAGTCTACTACATGTGTATTTCCAGTTTTCCCAGCACCATTTGCTGAAGAGGCTGCCTTTTCTCAAATGTATGTTTTTGGCAACTTTGTCTAGTATGAGTTAACTGGATTTATGTGGGTTTCTGTCTGTGTCTTCTGTTCTGTTTGTCTTCTTGCCTGTTTTGGTGTTAATATCATGCACCTTTTTGTTACTATAGCTCTGTAGTATAATTTAAGGTCTGGTATTGTGATGCCTCCTGCTTTGTTTTTCTTGCTAAGGATTGCTTTGGCTATTCTGGGCCTCTTATTTTTCCAAATGAATCCCATGACTGCTTTAAAAAAAAATCCCTCTTAATTCAACTTCCACCACTATCACTCAATAAAAAGCCTTCCAAGTTTATACTACCTGTGTATAAAGATGGACAAAGTTCACAAAAGTAAGTTCACCTTTGACATTTTGTAATCTGCATTTTCTACTTCATATATATGAACACCATCAATTTGTTCAATTTCAAGTTAATYAAAATTAATAAATACATGAGTATTCATTCATTTTATATAAGTATGCATTTATATAGAATAATAAATATAGTTATTTTTAATTAACACATAAAAATTGAACATATTTATTGGGTACCATGTGATGTTTCAATACGTTATGACATTGTGCAATATTCAGATCATGGTTATATTACCTAATCTTAAATGCTTATCATTTATTTGTAGTAAAAATATTCAAAATTATTTCTTCTAGGTGTTTTGGAGCACACAGTAAGTTGTTATTCATAGGCACCTTGCCGTGCAATAGAATACTGACCAAACCATAACTTAGTACCCCTTGATCAGCCTTTCCCCACCCCCCTCTTTCCCCTGCCCTCCCCAGCCTCTGGTAACCACCAGATATTCTCAACTTCTATGAGATCGACTTTTTTAGATTCCACAATAAGTGAGGTAGGTCATACAGTATTTGTCTATCTGTGCCTGGCTTGTAACAGTGGTCCCTTCACCTTCTGAATATAGCCCTCGTATGTTTTAAGGCTTATTTATTTATTTTTTAATTTTTGGTTTTGGGTACCAGGGATTGAACTCAGGCTCACTCAACCACCGAGCCACATCCCTAGCCCTATTTTGTATTTTATTAGAGACAGGGTCTCACTGARTTGCTTAGCAACTCATTAAATTGATCACGATGGCTTTGAACTCCTGATCCTCCTGCCTCTGCTTCCGGAGCCACTGGGATTACAGGTGTGTGCAACTGTGCCACTGTAAGGCTTTTTTTTTTTTTTTTTTTAATGTCTTTTTTTCCTCCTCTCTTCTCCCCTCTCCCCCTGTCTAACAAGATTAGGGAGACAGTGTTATCTTTTTTTCCCCTTAGTTGTTCTGCCTTTGAAAACACCACTACAGGAAGGAGATGCCTGCTGAGATCTGGGAAGTTAATATCTCCCAAATTAACAAGTGAATCCTAACAGGCCATCAGGGCACCCTGGGACCCCCTACCAGAGCACACCTGAAATGAATCCCTTGAAAAGTTCCTTTAAAACCCTCCTGTCCCTCCTGATGGGGAGAGTCACAGCCTTTGGGACAGGAATCCCCTGTGTTTCTCCTTTGCTAGCAAAGCAATAAACCTTCTTTTCCCCTTTTCTCAGAAACCATGTCTTCATTATTAAATTGGCATTTATTGGCATTGGGGACAAGGACTGAGCTTTCAGTTACAGGCTTATTTCACTTATTGTAATGTAATTATCTCCAGTTTCCACCCATGTTGTTGTAAATGATAGGATTTCATCTCTTTTTATGGCTGAATAATATTCCATTGTGTATATATGAACCATGTTTTTTTCATCCATTCAGCAGTTGATGGACACTTAGGTTATTTCCATTTCTTGGCTCTTATAAAGCTTCAATGAATGTGGGAATGCAGAAGTTTCTTTGACATATTGACTTCATTCCCTTTGGATATATATACCAGAGTGGGAGTGCTAGAACATAGGATAGTTCTACTTTTAATTTTTTGAGGGACAGCCATACTGTATTCCATAACACCTGCCCTAATTTCCATCCCCAGCAAAGGTGCATTAGTGTTCTGTCCTCTGAGCATCCTGGCCAGCACTTGTTATCTTTGTCTTTTTGATAGGAGCTATTCTAACTACAGTGAGATGATATCTCATTGTGGATGTGATTTTCATTTCCCTGTCTTCTTTTGAGAAAAGTCTATTTAGCTCTACTGCCCTTTT